AGTGAAGAGTAGAAATAACGTAAGGTAACTAGGGGTACCTAGAACTATCCTTCCTAACTATAATTTTCAAAAGGTGCCAGTAGATCATCTGAAGGAATCTTAAAGTAATGAATTTATGATCTAGTAGCTATGAGGTAGGGACTGAGCCTGAATTTTTAGCAAGTTGCCAGCAATGCTAGTGCTACTGGTCTGGGGGCCAGATGTAGAGTGATGAAGGCCTAGATCACACCACTTGAAATCTTGGTAAATATGTGTTAGGGTAAAGCAAACATAACTGCTCCATTGTTTTGCTCATAGGATAGTTGTTTTGTCTTTCACTATTCTTTCTGAAAAAGGATAGACTTTTGTTTTGGCCAATAGTTAAAACATTCAATGGAACAATGAATGATAAAAACTCTTCTCAAACAGTCTATTAGTAGGAAGTTACTGAGTTCCATTGATTTCCTTGATGTCTTCTACTTAAGGGTAAAAGAATCTTCTGAGAGTTTTGTCAGGAGCTGCTAAAAGAGAGTAAAGGAACCAAGAAAAGAGTGAGTTCAAAAAGTCCTTGGAAGAGCTTTGAAAGGCTTTAGGAATGTGTATCTTTCATGGATTGATCATCTAACCAGTATCAACATAAGAAGATAGGCTTAGGAGATGCTATAATGATCTATTACATCAAATATGTGAGCAAACCCTTAAATTTTATTAGAAATTTCAAGCAACTACATTGTCTATCTTTTCCGTTAGGAAGAAAGAGAAATCTGGTGGTAGGAGTGTAAAGAGTAATTACTTATCTGGACTTGGTGTCCCACCATTTCTGGACTGGAATATTGGTGCCTTCTATTACCCACCATATTTCATGGCATCTCTACATTTTGATTTCCTTAATTCTGGAATGAGGACTGTTCACAATTAATGGAATTGATCTTATAGGGCCATTATGAGGTTTAAATAAGATCATGCATATAAAAGTTTTCATATTATGCAAAATGTATACACACACAACCATACATACACACACACAGAGCAAGGCAAAGCAAAAAAAAAAAAAAAAGCTAAAAAAAAATGTAGACATCACACCTCCTTAGAAAAAAGCTGCCTTCTTAATTAGTTTCCCAGATCTTATTTTATGGACAAAATACTTCAGGTGTTCAGAATGCAACCACTAAAATTTTTGCCAAATTTTCCCTTTTCCTTGAAATCTCATTTGATTCCTGCTGTTTACTGTGCTGGCCACAGGGATGCACTGTGCTTCTTTCAAAATCTCTTTGAAAGCATTTTCAATTTGGCTGATGGAACATGTGGGTCAGAACTCAAACTGAGGGAGAACCCTGGAAGACATGGATTTATGGTAGAGAACACCTAGGACTAAAACTCCTGGGACTGAAAAAGAGACCTACATAGAAATCCGGCTTCTAGCAAGACTCCAACCTCAACCAACCTTATCTGTAAAATGGAGGTCACAAGTCCCACCTCTAATAGAAACAGTGAGTGAAGAGGTATAGAGGTAAAGGTTGTAACAATCCAACTGTGTCCTGGTAGAAAATAAATATGGAAAGCTCCTCATTTTTTGCAGCATCCTGTATGATGAGAATTTCACTTTGTCTGGAATGAATTTGTTTGTTTGTTGTTTATAGTTAACAAAGGATTCTCTGCTCACTTCCCAGTAACTATAATATTGATCATGTTCCTAACTACTCAGACAAATTGAAATTTTATAATATGATCCACTCAAAACTTTGATTCACAGTTTTAGCCCATAAGGGGAAAATAGGCACATCCTTTTGTCTCCCTCCTGGACTGGAGCTGGGAAAGCAGCATAAAGTGCTTGGCAGCCTGTAGCCTGTTCAAAGGTCTCTGCTTTTCAATATTGGCTTCTCAGCCTAGCAGATTGAACTGGATCACGGTAAAGACTTTTCAACAAAGAAGGGTAAAACCTGAGATTTTAAAAATAGTCAAGATTATGTCCTTAGAACATTTTCTTAGCCTTAGAAAGAAATACATTTCTAGTAAGCACAAGACTATGAGACAAGTCTAGTCAATATTCAGAGATTCAATAAAATGACAAGTTGATCAAGACATATGATGCGGCACATTTTCTCCTCAAATCCAGGAAACAGTTTTGACATTTCCCTTCTTGCCATAATATAATGCACTTTCAATACTGTAGTGAAATCCTCTCAGAGTGAAGTCATTTATCATAAGACTAAATGCATGAACTGTCTTGCTTCACTGTGATCCTTGGACTGGAAATTTTGGTGGGCCTTAAAATGTATAATTATAATTAAGATTTGTTTCTAACTTTCTGACGGCAATCCCTCTTTCTAATTCTGACTGGAAGCAATCCAGATATCCTTAATGGATGAATTAACCATCATCCATCTCGACCATGAAATACTACTCAGCAATAAAATGGAATAAAATACAGATACAGTCCAGATGAATCTCCAGAGAATTATTTAAGTTTTTCAAAAGATGGCCACTCCCATAGGTTATCTACTGTATGATTCTGTTTATATTAAATTCTTGAAATGATATAATTACAGAAATGGCAAGTAAATTTTGGTTGCCTGAGGTTAAGGAGGGGATTGGGCCTGGGAAGTGGTTGTGGCTTTAATGGGTCCTTTGGTGGGGGAAGGGGTCTACACCTTAATGTCAATATGCTGTTGTGATATTGATCTGCAGATTTGCAGGATGTTATAATTGGGTGAAACTGGGTGAATGATACATAAGATATTTTTTAAAAAAATATTTATATAAGAACTGGAGTAAAGGCCAGAGGCGCCGGAGGGTGAGAGAATTTACCAGAGACACAGCGGGGAGCAGAACATGCAGACCACTGAAAATACTGCTGAGGGGAGCAGCAGGCGAGACAGGAGAGGTCTGCTGCACCATGTGGGTTATCTCCTTGGCCGGCTGGGAATTGAACCCACACTGCAGAGGCTGTGGACGGTTCCACAGTGCTGCACTCAACCCGCTGTGCCACTGGGGAGGCCCAAATATTTCTATTTATACCTGCATTTGACTCTAAAATTTTCCCAAAATAGGCATTTTTAAAAAACAACAAAAAACAAAGAAGCTTTGAAGAAAATATTTTAGTCAGTCATTACTTATCATCGTCGGTGCCTTGTTGGTGATTTTCACCACACTACAACCACCACCAAGGCACCATAGTCCTCCACCATAGTATTATCCTCTCCCAACTGTGTTTCCTTCTCCTCCTCTTGCCACCTCCATTCCTCAGCTTGATTATTAGGATTTGTTATTGATTTTCACTTGATATTTTTATTTTGTAAGGGAAGTGTATATGACCATATATATAAAAAATAAAAATATATTCATATATGTTATATATTTATATATATTTATATATAAGTAAAAAATAAATCCTTAAAATAAAAAATAATAGTTTTATATATATATATATATATATATATATATAGAGAGAGAGAGAGAGAGATAGATATATATATAAAATATGAGATGAGCGATGCGAGAGGTGAGAGGATTCTCCAGAAACAGTGGGGAACAGAACAGGGAGATCCATTGAAAGACACTGCTGAGGGGAGTAGCTGGTGAGACAGGAGAGGTCTGCTGAGCCATGTGGGTTACTCCCTGGCCAGGGATTGAATTCAGGCTGCAATGACTGGCGTTAACTTCATGGCACTGAAACTTTAACCCCTGTGCCACCAGGGAGCCCTGAGTGGTTATTTTAAAAGATTGCATACAAGTCTCCTGGTGAGGCCCCTTGGGACCTTCCAAAAACTCAGCTTTCATTATGACACCAAATGTTCTGATCACTGAATCCTACCGAGGCAACTGACTCAAAAGAGACATACTGGTGTTGATCAGTCTAAAGTTTTCCTAGGATATCAACTACTGATTGGTAGTGTAAGGGGAACTTTCCCAGGCATGGCTAGAGAAGAGAGAGATTTCTTCTGAGTTTTCTTAGTCTTTGTTTTCTCCATCATCTTCAGTACATCTCACACATACATTGTATGCACTCAGTAGAGTAGTTAAAGCAAAATGAGGTGATTTTCCTTCTGTAGGACACGCCTCCTCCCTCCCTCCCATGGTCTCACCACCTCATCGTTGAGACTGTAAAACTTGGCAATTTCCATTCACAGCTTTGAATGATTTAGAATTCTGTTTTGCATTTCAGTTTTGTCTGAACCCATATGGCAAAGTCAAAACTCCAAACAAATCTGATAAATTCCATCTTGTGCTAGCCATTCCCTGTGGCTTGGTAAAGCACTGCAAGCATTTCACTACTTAATTCTTTCTTATTCCATGACCATCTGTATCTCCATCTTCAGACTTGGATGGTCTCATGTTGTTCTGAAACACAGTACAAAAGAGCTCCACTATGTTCTTTTGCCAAGAGTGAGTGTCTTAAGAGACCAAGAGAGTAAATAAACCAATCTGAAAACACTAGTTTGAGGTAGTTAGTTGCTCAGTGCAGGTGTACTCACCTTTATGTTACTCTCAGGGCTAGAAAGCCCTTGTTTAGAATACATAAATGTCACTTATTATCTAGCATGAATATTCACCAAGTCATTAATATGTATCAAGTCCTAAGGGTTTAACATTTATTGTCATATTAAATTCTGTAAACACTCTGTTGAACTCAACACTAGCATTACTCCCACTTAGTCTTTCAGCTTGGGGTCTTTATCTCTCTAAGTGCTGGGCACCCAAAAACCTAGTGTAAGTGGCATGTATGAAGACACAGACTAAAATGCGTAGGTAGGCTTCGGCAAGAATTTTGCCTTTGCTCTGTGTCTTGAAGAATGAGTGAAATTTAGACAAACAGAGCATGATGGGAACATATTTGGGGATAAAAGACCAATTTGTACTCAAAAAATTCCAAAGGAATGTTTAATTGAATGATTTATTTAGATGCCAACAAGGCAAAACATATGACTAGAGCACAGGGTGAGGAGATGTCTGATGATGAGGAAAGTAGCTGTGGCATTATTATTGGCAGCCTTCAATACCAGGCATAACTTCTTTTTCAGTTGGGGAGGAACTGAAATGAGGAGTGCTTTGACCTTCGGGCAGCAGCGTGAATGATTCATTGAAGAAGAATCAGAGACGGGGACACGAGGTAGGTCTTCTCAGACTAATTGGTTGAGGGTGAACATGAGCCTTGAGCTCATTAATATGCTTTGCTCTCTATTAGACTTTATGTCCTGTGGCTCATTAATTCCCTGTTGATAGAGCCTCAGGCTGAGTTTCATCCTCACTGAGTTCACGGGGCAAAGATTTTCCTCTCGCTCTTAAAACTATATCAACATCCGGCCTCACTGGGCCATGCAACATTTGCTGATTCCTTTGTGAACACCTCTGACCCATAAGTGAGTTCAGTTTCAAACTTTAACTTAAAAACTGGGGGAAGAAATTTTTATGTGATCTAATCTGGCTGAGATATTCACAACATCTATTTCTGAGACTTTCCACAGCTAGGACAGTTTCTGTTATGTCGTTGGTCTTATTTCTCCAGAGGGTGGAATGTGTGATGATTTCTGGGGTGAATTTTATCATTTAGCATATTTGTTTGATGAGAAGAGATGAAAGAGGACAGAGACATAGGTCATCGTGTTATTTTTTAATAATTTGAACACATTATATTGTTTATGTGTTTGTCTATACATAACCCCCTAAAATAAATAATAAAATCTAAAGTAAAAGGGTGAAAGAATGAATGGAAAATGAAACTTAGAACAAGAGAAAGGTGAGTGATACTAATATCCAAAAATGTTTCTCTCAAATGTTCTTTTATCTGATGGACCATAATTTGGAATATGACTTTTCATGAACCTTTTCAATGTCCCCTGAGGGTAAAAAGGGAAAAGTAAACAACAAGCAAAAGTAGGTATTCAGAAGCAAGTCATTTGTGTTCCAGTTTTTCCAATATGTAATAGTAACCAGAGGAATATTATGGACTGTAATGATAACAGTCCTTCAGAAATATCCTGGTGGTATAGATGCCACATCAGAGAATCTTTCTGGTTTACCCACTAGTATAAGATTAAATACTTTTCAATAGCATAAATCTCATGAGGTCAGGTAATAGAAGAAGAGAATGGTAAGAATGTTCAAATATGTAGTTTCCTATCAACTTATAAAATCCAAGAGGATGTTAAAAAGCAGGTATTTTTTACGTCAGATGCTACTGACCTCTAATAATTTTTCCAAGTGCATGGTTGTTGGAGTTAACCTCACATTTGTCAGAATATTTTATCTTAGATCAAGTTTCTGTCTCAGGTACAGCTAAGGTAAACTAGGCACAAAACATCCAGCTAAGGAATCCAACAAACTAATTTATGATACAATGATAACAAATGTCAGTTTTAATATTGGGAGACTTTGCCAAAATTATTGCTACATGTACTATAGCAATTTTTTATTGATTGATTATAGTTTTTTGACTTATGTTGAAAATAATTGATTAGTTTTTGAAAACAAAAGTGAGGCACAAGGTGTTTCTTGGATAATGAAAGGCCACATGACCCCTCAAGACCCCGAGTGCCTGATGCTGTGAGCTGGGGAGGAGACTGTGGAGAAATAGGACACTTTAGAGACAAACTTCTGCTCCACAGCCTCACATGTGGCTCTGCCAATTAATGAAACATGTAAATTGGATCCCATCCAAGGAAAGGTTAAAAAATGAGAGTTTTATTTCTTGCTTTCTCTGTTGAGCATTTTCAGCATCTTTGCTGTAGAACCTCACAAAGTTATTTACCACAGGTGTGCTGGTAATTATGATATATTATAAACATTTACGTTGTATAATGGTCCTCAACGTCTTCCACCTGTGACCTGGTGCCTGCATACCAAGCAGTCATGCAAAGCAGGTAGAAGTGTAGGCTGCCAGCTTAAGATTGTTGTTTTTTTTTTTTTTTTCCTTTTTTCAAATGTACCATTCTCTTCCGCCACAAATGTGTATCTAGGGATTTCCCCCTGCTCAGTTGTCTAAATTATTGCACATAATTACATTTATTTTAATCTTAAGGTATTAACATTTTTAAGCAGAAACCTTTCCAAATTGACATGCATGCTTCATTCTTCTCAAACCAAGCAGAGTTTTAAGATAAATTTACATTTATTTTCTAAATGACCTAGATCTTATTTTGTCAATAATTTGACCATGATGGAATAAGTCTTAGTGTTGGGTATTGGTGATGCCAAAGCAGGTTTTGCTTCTGCTAAGTGGTTGCATATGTCTGTGTCTTAATGAACACTTCATTTCCTTTTAATAATCGTTGTCACTGTCGACATCCATTATAGGTCCAACTGTTCTTTATTGGTATCAATAATTCTGCTTTTAGTAACTTCTCCCCGGTCTACCCACCTTGTAAGGGGCACCCATTTATCTTCACACACACTGCAGTAACAGGAGTGGTGACTGTCACCACCCAGAACACTCCATTCCTAATGTGACCCGGGAATTCCATTAGAAACTTTACATTGAATGCTTTGTTTTCCTTCACACCTGCTTATGGGGTCACTGTTATTAAACTAGGTAAGGAATTATTTGAGATAAGAGAGCTGAAGCAAAGAGAATGTTTGATTTGCTGTGTCTACTTGGGGTGGACATTAGTAGTGAACACACACTCGGATTTCAATATTTCCAGAGCAACAGATCCCGAGGGTCCACATTGTAAGCAAAGTAGGCAGGGAATTCTGCCTTGTGACTCCCACAGTGACTATAGGATTGAGGATAATGGAGAGCTGACCTCTAGAGAAACAGGATTGAATGTGCTGAAATCTGAGAATAAGGAGATGCCAGATTTTTTTTCCTTTTTAAGAGATTTTAAGTTGCCAGGAAACTAGGAAAGAACACAAATTAACACAGCTCTGGAGTCCAAATATTCCAAGAGAGATAATAATGTGATATTCACACAGAAAAAAGAGAAAAAAAAAAAAAAACACTACAGAAACAAACGCAACAAAACATCCTCTGGAAAGAAATCCATGAAGGCATCTATCCTACGGGTAAATAAAGTAAATCGAATATTACTAAACAAAGATCCTCAAGTCTCATACTCACAGTAAATTGCATAGATATGTAAATTTTGCATTCTAGTCATTAACCATTATAAAGTCTGGACTTGGGGGGGTATAATATATGTCTTAAGCTCAGTTCTGTTTACATTAACCATTACTGAAATTCAGCCTAAGTGGTGAAGAGGGCCCTGAATGTGGTAAGCTAGAAAGATAAAAGCCAAAAATCCCTCTGTGGATACTTCTGGAAGCCAGTAGATGTTAATGAATAGCTTCTGGGATCAAGAAGAGGAATTGATTTGGGGACAAAGATGTTATTTGCATGTTGATTTTGAAGTGTCAGCAATACAGCTAGGTGATTTTCAATGGGCAGTTGGTTTTTCTCTTTTTTACTATCCAAAGGAAAACAGGCTTGGATCTGGAGATACTTCACATGAGAAAGCTGAGGAGGAGATTCCCCAGTAGGAGGGAGCAGAAAACTTAGGTTAATATAGTATCATAGAAGCCAAAGACAGAAAGGATGTCAAATAGAATAGGGTGTTTGGCCTACCAAATTAATCCTTGAAAAATATTTTCATAATTTCAGTGATTCTTTCATGTGAAAATGTGGATTGAATCCCTCTGTCCTAGGAGGACATCAAGTATGTGGGACAGCTGGGTTCCCTTTAAATTTGCAGTCTGTCTTGATACTCTTTAAGAACAATCTATTGAATCTAAATGTGGTGCGCCTAAGCCCTCTAGTTTTTAACTTGGATGTATAACATTTACCCTTTGGAACTTTTTTTATACCTTTGTAATTGCTAGGAATTTCTTTCTCAGTTTCTATTCTAACCTTTCCAAACATATTTTGTGGTTCTGTCTCACCACAAAGGAATGACCAGACTGTCTCACCAGCCACATATAAAAACTTCTCGGTTTGAAATGTCTCTTCACCTACCAGCCCTGTAACATCCTCACAGACAAATTCACACACACACAGGCATAGACTGGACACCAAAGAGGCCCTAGGGGTGCATACAAACAACTGGAAAACCCAAATAATTACTTCATTAATTAAAGTTTACAACAGAGTTCAAAATAAACATTTTTACTGTTTTAAGTTTTTTTTTTTTTTTTAAGCTTTTATATGTAAATGCTCCCATTTTCTAGTTGATACCACTCGGAACACCTGAAGTCATCAAACATCCCATTTCTACCACGTTCTGTAGATAAAAACAAAAATCATAGGGAAAGAAAGTAAAGCTAGCTACTGGAGAAGGAAGTAAGTGTTAACCAAATATAGAGCTTGTCCACTTTCTTAGTCAGTTCAGGCTGCTGTAACGAAATACCAGACTGGATGACATAAATAGATATGTAATTGTCACAGTTCTGGAGATTGAGCAGGCCACGATCAAAGTACCAGCAGATGCCATGTCTGGGAAACCTCTTTCTGGCCTGCAGATGGCTGCTTTGACCTTATGAGGACATAACCTCCCCTCCAGGGAGTCACTCAGTTTCTCTCTTTGTGTGTTTCTCCCCTCCTCCCCTCCTCCCCCTGCCACACAACCACATACACCAAGGCAGTAGCATATAATGTGGGTTCCACCATCATGACCTCATCTATACCTAACCACTTCTCAAAGGGCTGCACTCCACATACCATTGCATCAGGAGTTAGGACTTCAACATACGAATTTGGGGAAGGTGGTGGTGGATGAACATGGATATTTAGCCCATGAAACTCAGTGACTCTCTCATGTCTCATTTTCCTCCTTTCTCCTCCTCCCTAATTGACTTTGGTTTTGGTTTGTTTTGTTGTTGTTTTATAAGCTGTCATGGCACTAGATACAGATTGAAGCTCTAGGCAATTGCAATTAAATCAGGGAAAAGATATGCATTCACCAAGGTTAACACAAGCTGCAGCTTAATCAGGATGAAACAGATAAACACATCTGAGACCTCAAAATAAATACCGCCATTTCAATCACATTGTCTTTAATTTCTCCCTTCACCCCCCAAATTCCAGAAAACATGCCCAATCAAAAGCTAAATAAATAAGTTCCCAAATCAATATGCCTGTCACTAAAATTTTCAACCTACAAATGCAAAATGTCATTTCAG